AGCATCAGAGATGTCCATCTGAAACCCGAGCAAGTAAAAGACATTACCCAGCCCTCCAGGTTACTTTAGTTCTCTGAATGATTACGTGTCCGTGCACACACGTGCCACACACGCATTTTACTACTCATACGCAACGCTCTGCCTTCATAGTCACTGAGCTCCTACAGAAGGAGCACATAAAGATGTTTAGCTCTGGCAGTTGTTTGTTTTCTTCATCCTTTTCCCTGCCCTACAGAAATGCCAGGGCAGCAGTGAGCTGGACCTGTCTCAAGCAAGAGGACCGATTTTGCAAGCTGGGGTGGGGCACTTCCCCTTTTGGCTTTACTCCCTTCTCCCCTCCATCTGCAGCCTTTCCACACTTTGCCTCCACCCAAGCTATGCTGTGAATTGCAGCAGATTGATGTAATGGCAAACTGTTGTGGTTGGCTGGTGGCCCCTCAGCAATGCCTGTGTCCGTGCTCTCAAATGGTTGAGCTCCTTTTAAGGAAAGAAAGCACTGAAGCAGCTCAGAGTGAGGACACTTGCCTGCACCAGTTACTAGCTACTCGTGCAGGTTACCACCTCTGAATGCCCATGGCTGGGAGGGAAAACCCCAGGATGTGAAGGCACTGCCAGGTACCGAGGCTCTGCAGCTACACAGGTTTCTGCTTCAGTGACTGGGCTGTGGGAGGGAGGTAGCATCAGTCACTTGACATTTTCCAGTGGAGGAAAAAATGTCAAAAAGGTCTTTCCCATCAACATCTCTCCCCATACTAGTGTCCTTTATTTTAAACAAATAGAGAGTTTCTAACTTCATATGCATCTCATCTATCTTCTATTGATGTCTAGGGTCACCGTGACTTGTTACTTTGGGCATCTTCTGTCAGTTGTCCAACGGTTTCAACCCAATGTTCTGAGATGAGTTCTCCCCACCTCTTCCTCTCAGAAAGAAGAATATCTGTATGCATTCTATATTCCAGGTCCAGACTGTAACCTGTGAGTATGGTGATGATAACTTTTTTCAGTGAGAAACCCTTGACTTCTGTTGGAAGTCTGAACGGTCATCTTCAGCATTATACAGCTGCCTGTGCAGAAATGGTGAGCCCACAGCCTCTCCTGAGGCCAGTGACACTGTAAGATGGCTTTTTGTTTTATACTCATTCATAGCCAGCTGCAGTACGGGCAGTTATGGAAAAAGGAAGGTACCACTTGCCTTTCTAGGCAAATGCTGCCACTGCAGCAAATGGCTTTTTCTGCATGAAGTCAGGTCTGACCTAGAGCTCACTAAATCTTTAGCTTCCCACGCATGGCTTGAATTAGGATACAGTGCCAGGGCAGAAGCAGCCCTAAATTGCAATTGTCTGCCACGTACATCCTCTGTGTTCCGTACTGACTATCCACAAAAGGTGCACACAACATTTAACCTGAAACTTGGATGGAGACAGTAAGAATCAGCAGAAGGTATTTCAAATCCACTCCTATGTTCAAGGTTTGCATGGGAAATAGGGCTGCCTGTCCAAAATAGGCTGCAAAGCACTAATTCTTAATGGAAAGGAATTTCAGTGGGATGTGCATTTCTAAATAACTTAGATCAAAATTTCAAAAGGATATTTAGGAGAGATGGTAAAACAGAGTCTCTAGTTCCTTAGAGATCTGTGAAATGTTTTGTTGTCTGAAAACATTCCCTGTGTTTTCTAGAAAAACTAAATGTAGAGCAGGTGGGTGAGCAGAGTAAAAAAAAAAAACAAATTAAAAAAAAGTGCCAGATCAACTTCAGAAGGAAATTAAGGGTGGAGAAGAGGACAAGGAAAGAAGACAATCTAGTGGACAAAACAGCAGGAATGAAGTTTGCAGGAGGAAGCTGCTCAACACATACTGGCATTCTGGGAGTTACAACATCAAAAACATAGCAAACTTACCAAGGAAATAAAGAGACATAGCAGTGACCAGAACACACTTTTCCTGTGCTGCTTGGGGTTATTACTAGAAACTGTTGGTGACTTTACCCCACAAATGACCTTTTCACACCTGCTTGCGATTTTGCTTGGATTAGAAGCAACCCATGTCTTGGGTGCCTTTCTCTGGGGACACAAGTCAAAGCATACATTTCATGAACCTCTGGCTACCTCCCTTATGAAATTTGCACCTTCCCTAGTCATTTTAAGTGAGGCACTCAATACAATCTGGCAAGTGAGTTGTGTACTGTAACTTCTGAAGCCTACTACACCTTCATTCTCAGTGCAGGAGAGATGTTTCAAATGGCTCTTATCAGGTCAATATCACCAATGTTCAAGTCTCAGTCTAGGTTTGGAAGAAGCAAGAAAGAAGATTTTTGAAAATATGCAGAAGCGCTAGAGCCTATCTTTCTTTTCTAAAAGTAGCTTATTTCCCCTAATCTTTGACCTTCAAAATGCTAAATTGATGAAAAAGGTAATTAAACTTTTTACTCCGGGGTTAAAGATCTCATGAAGTGTTACTACAAATCTGAGTAAGCAAACAGTCATTTAAACATTTCTATCTCACAGACTGATTAAAATTTCTCACCTAATTTTAGTATGAGGAGGTAAATACTTACTCTTTTAATTTAACAAACTGCAATTTCTGCTGTTACCTCTGTAACACTACATATACAAAAAAAGTCCTCCAGAGCCTAGTGGCCCTCTTTGATACATGTCTGAATGGAGTTATCCTTCCTCAGTGCATGCTGTAGGGGCAGCTGATCTCTCAGGGTGTTACAGATTAAGTGGAATTCACTGTAAATCATATGTTGAAATGCAGCAAAATGCACAGGGGATTCCCTTTTGATGGAGGATACAGATGGGACATCAGGAAATTCAAAAAGAGAAAAATTGTTGCCTGGTTGCATCTGCTTGTGTGCATCGTCTGTCAGTTGTCATAGGCCACAGTCTCCCAGGTATGACATATGTATATAATATCAGTGAATCTTTACAATACTCTCTTGCCTATTGTTCAAACTACTTTTTCAGATCATCCTTTTCTACCTAAGTTTGGTGATACATAGAGATGAGAAACAGATCTTGGGACTTAGCGATGACAGCCTTGCACTGAGCACCAAGCCTGTCTAGGCTGCCATGCCACTGCGTACGTAGATAGACAGTCCCCTTCATCCCCAATACATCTATGGGGTCACAGAGGCCAAACAACACTCCTAAGGCATTGGTTTATCCATAACAGATTTTCTTTTGACGATGATTCAGAATGTGAATAGCAATCCTATGGCTCCTGATATGTTTGGGGCATATGTTCAGACTCTTTTTGTAAAAAAGAAGAATTAAATTTCTCAGTATACTATTTTCAAAAAGTTAGTTTAGGGCTAGAAAAGGGAGCAGGAGAAGAGGTAAGAGTGTATGCAGCTTTACAGAGAAGACAAACATTGCAAGAGCCGGAATTAATACCTATAGTTAAGATCATCCATAAAACAGAGTACTATGAATTGTCTTTGTTTCTGTTAACCGTGGGAAATGCCTCACTACAAGATGTGACCCTTCAAAATCAAAGAGCTATGGGTAGAGAAAGTGGCTGTAGGAAAAATGCTGAAGTTAGGACATGGAAAATCTAAATTATTGCTGAGTGCACAAAATAAAGCTAATAAGAACAACAGATGGATCTTATCATACGTAGGAAACCAAAGATAACAATTTCTTCTTCACTGATTACGGTAATTTTTAATGTGTGTTTATACTGATATATAATTGAACTATTGGGAGAATTGTTACATCATCAGCAAATGTACATTTCATCTTTGCTGGTCCTGTATGATATTTGCAAGGTGAAGTAAATTCAGTGCAATCAGAAATCCTGTGTGTTTTTTCGGGGTTTGAACAAAGGATTTTTTTAAATTATTTTTTTAAATCAAGGCTTAAATATTTTGTAAGGTTTAGTTACTGTGAGAGAAAGAAGGCTTAACTCCTTTTGCTGAGTTGATACACAAGCAGTAAAGGCAAGATTTTGTCCAAAGGGCTTTGCACTGAAACATGAAGCAGTAGCGTAAGGGATCAGATTATTAAATAAGTAAGAATTAATTTGTTCATAAAGTATGACAATATGCATGTAGGAGCTGGACTTTACACTCACATTTTTGGTAAGAGGGGACCAAGTGGTAAATAAAGTGAAGATGCATAAGGTGCTGCATTCTTTACTAGCTAGCACTCGAGTTTGGGAGTAGGCTCTATTCTTAATGCTGACACCATCCTGCTGTATTACTTTGATTTGGTTATTTTGCCTTCTGTGACTCCCTTTCCACCTACTGTTCTTTATTGAACTTCCTTAGACAAAAAACATTTAAAGGCACTTGCAATCTCAGAGTGTCAGTCTGCCACCCTGACCCTTGTTCTTACAATAGGAATATAAAAATGATGAGCAATACTTTTATTTGTGGATAAGCAAACATATTTTGATAGTCATTCCTCTCCTGAATGAGGGCATTGATCACAGCATTCCATGCATTTTTTTCCCTTTTTTTCCTATTTGTCTCAGTTAAAAAAATCAAGGGTAAATGAAGGTCAGATATTGGAATCTGAAACATATGAATACTATGTGTGTCCTAATACGGCATTTCTGGAGAAATCTGAATAGCAGATAGCATTCAAATTAATAATAAAAATAATAATAAGAATACCTGAGAGTTTACTAAATCTTTATCAAATGGGAGTTCAGATAATTTTGATATGGAACCACATATTTAATTTCATTTCCTATGCAGAATGAAAACCATCTTTCCTGGGGACAATTTCATGCAATCAGTCATGCTTTAGAAATAAGACAAATAGTAGGATCTTTATAACTTCTCTGTGGATGAAAAGGCTTGCTGTTCTTCAGAATGCCTTTCCCAAAGAGAAGGTTGCACACGAAACCCACTAAGCACCTGAGTAATCCTGTGCTGAACAAGATGAAAAGGCACAGGACCTGCTTGTATACCAGCTTGCTTAGAGTACTTTAACATTATTGGGATATTATATTATATGCTAATATTTCTTATCAGAGTGGACTAATAATCTTACCCAAGACTCTCTCATTCTTAACACTCTGTTGTCCTCCAGTACTAGTTGAAAGGTCCTCAGGTACAGGCATAGGTTCATCTGCATCGTCTGCGACATCGCTAATTGGAGGACTTTCCTTTCCTAGTAGTGAAGAAAGTAGCATCAGTGAGTAATCAGAGTAGCCTTATTTTCAAATAATAACATAGGAAGAACCACAAATGAAATAAAACTTAACAAAAAATCTAAACACTACTAAAAGCATGGCATTTCTAGGACCAAAACCTGCTGTCCTGCAGAGAAAGCTTCTTTTGAAGACAGGGGAATTATATTTGTGGAAAGAATGCATGGCCGATGTCCCTTTTAAATCTACTGAAGTCTGGATACACAGTCATCAGTCTTACCCTTTTGGATATTTGTAACAGATATTTTTTCAGCTGCTATGCTTAGAAGACCCCGCTTAGTCAATGCAGACCAACAGATTGTTGTCCTGGTTGATTACCAAATGGTCATCTTTTGTAAAAACTCTTCTTTCTTCCACAAGTGCTCCTTCAGAGCACATCTGGATTTGCTTCCATTACATAGTTAGTGTCTAGCACATAAGTATTCTGGGGCTCTAACAGAACTACCCAAAAAATAAAATGTTACGTCCAACTAAAAATTCAACTACATCTTCAGCAAGCTTCACTAAAAGCCACAGATCAAGCTTTGGCTGGTCATTATGCCGACAAGTAATTAAGTGCCTGTAGCTCCTGGGACTTCCTGAAACTTGGACAATTAGCACAGTACAGTCAAAAAATTACTTCAAGGGTTTTATGGTGTCTTATTTGTAAACAAAGCCCAGTATCTTGTGTACACAAGGCTTTGCAGAAGAAAACATCCTGGTGCTTTAACATGTTAGAAGTATTATGGAACTGTTTTACTGCAGAATGCAATACAATAAGGAAAATAACTCTCTTGCTAAGTATTGCACTTCCAGAAATGAAGTTTCTTTGTTTAGCTTTCAGTCACAGCATATGTGTCCTGCCCACAGAACTCCCCCTGTCTTTCAGAGCTTCTTTTAAGATTACTTCACACATCTGTAATAAAAGCAAGTCTTGGAAACAACTACCAAAAGAATTATCGAAGTGATTAGTTTCATCAAGCATTATTAAAAGGCTGGTCTTTGCATTAACAGCAAAGAATGGAAAAGGCCCAGAACAGGATTTGAACTCAGTAATGTTCACATAAGACCTTTGTTTCCACAATGGAGATGTTACCGATCTACACGGATGCCATCTATTAGACGTGCTGGGGCAACCAGCACACCAGCAGGGGCAGTAATTTCATGGCACAAAGGCTTAGCAAATTAGTGGGTTTTTTTTTTTCTAATGAGAATTCCCTCATTAACACACAAACATTAATTGATTCTGAAATCACTTCTCAGAAAAGGAAAAATTAAAACAAATATACTTAAGTTACAACAGTCTGGTGATGTCAGTTACAGATTTGACCTGAAAAAAGAAAATGGTTTCCTCTCAACCTCCTGGATGGAGCAAAACATCCTGCTTCCTGATCTATAGTGACCATGACAGGGGGAAAGTGACAGGTAGGTTTAGGTCATCTTCCAAATTAGCTGACTTGGGTAGTTTGCACAAATATAGGTTTAACTGAACAAAATGAGTGGGTGACTGCATTTCTTAATGATGTGCCTATCAGACCCTGGAATAATCTCTGTGCAGGAGTGGTGGGAGTGGCATTAGGTGAATGATCTAGAACTGTCACCAGAGGCCTCAAGGGTAACGAAGAAACAGTCCTGCACTGGCAGTGGGACCGACTAGATCATTTCATAAGCTCCCATTTCCAGCTTCTGCAGAGTATTCTTAAATGGGCAAAATCACACCCACTGGATGCGAGTGCAAGAGCGAAAGTGGGTTGCATAAATGGAAAAGAAGGACTATGAATTTTACAACAGAGGAAGGTAAAAGCAGGAAGTTCATAAAAACAGTTTTTGCCATTCACTGTTTAGCTCCTTATTTAGTTATTCCTGTAGTTTTCTGCACTATTTTTATGGGATGTGAGGAACTTAAAAAACTGCTAGCAATTTTTCAATGCAAGTTCCCATCCTGCCAAGCTGAGGTATCTCTAACAGATAGGATGCATGAGTGAGGAGACACAGCTGAAATATTTCAGCTTTTTTAACACTTCTCCCCCCAGCTTAACAAAAACAAAACCCCAGAAGCTTGACTAGGGAGCAAGAGGCAGGCTGGTCAGAATCAGCTCTCTTGACACTACATGTAGGTTAAGGAAATTTCTTAAAAATTAATAGTAACTAAAAGCCACCTGCATCTTACAAGGTTCAAATTGTGCTCCCAATTACAACAATGGAAGTTGATGCTTTGACTAAGTCTAAATTCAGAAGAACACCCTAAAAACCTGAAGGCTTTTTTGGCTACAAGCTAACGTAAACACATAATATCAGAGCTATGAGATAACAGCAAACAAATGTGTAATTAAGCATCCTACAATAAGCAGGCTAAGTAGGAGGCTCTGAAGATAAGTCAAAACAGTCTTTTGGAATAGAAACCTGCTAGTAGACCAGTACTTTCACAGTTTATGGTGAACTGTTTGGTTCAGTGAACAGATATCAATCTTTTACTTGTTAAATTAATAGCCATTTGCTCACGTGGCCTGAATCAGACTAGCCTCATGGACTTGGTGGGGCAGAAGCTGAAGATCTGGTATGCTTCCCTGTTTACAAGGGACTGCAGTTAAGAAAGCTTAGTAAAACTTGGCTTTAATGACTCATTTCGTATCATTTGATTTCTTCCTGTTACACAATAATCGAGAAATCCCTGCATGCAAAAAGGCAAGGTAAAAATAGTGGATTTAAAATAGATATATTTGTTGAGTTCTGTGTCTTGAATTCTAAAGCATGATATTTGTATTTCATGCCTTAACTACATCTAAATTGTTACACCATGATAGGTTCACTACTGTCTGGTAATCTTACAATATGCAATCTCACTAACATCCTTTTGCCAATGAATTTAGAAATGGGAAGGGGATGGAGGAAAGGAGGGAACACTTTCCCATTTAATTTCTAACAGGCATGTCCAGATCAATAACTGGTTGAAGGGATGGAGCTAAAGAAACATCTAGTGGCAAGTACTGGGGTAAATTACTAAAATGTCACATAACAGAGCAAAGTAGCATAGATTTATTCTATTCCCATTTTAGAATTTTGCACAAAAATAAAAAGTGAAGCATAAACAATGCAATCTAATCTTGGCGCTGGGGTTGTGAATGGTTTTTTTTACATTCTAATTTTTATAAAGAGATACCTGACACATCAAATGAAAAAGACAAAGAGAGTTGTAAAGTTGAAGTTCTGTTTCTGGCTCTGCCACTAATTCATGGTGCCCTTGGTTAAGTCATAAATGGCTATAACTTCAACTGCAGGCTGTATCATACATTCCTCCAATTTTCCTGAAGCTCCAAAAGATGGTCTCAAATTTCCAAACACTGCCATTTCTGTAAGAAAACTGTCAGAGAAGTGTCCAACCTATCAACAGTGCCCGGTGAGACCCTCAGCTTTTCTCTACGTGAATTTTGTATCTCTGCCCTAGCAATATAGTTAAAGACAGAAGGAAAGAGAGGAAGGGAAAAAAGTGCCCAGTCCAGTAAGGTTTTATGCATCCTTTATTCCTACCAAAGTCTGTAAGCCTGGTGTTTCTTTAACACCTCCATTCAGTTCTGAGAGCAATTCAGAACGTGCCAGTGTAGCACTGATGGAGCTAGGACCACTAAAAAGAAAGCCAGGCCAGGATTTCTTACTGAAATCTCATTCTCTATCCTTTAATAAACTAATGTTGGGTGCATTTAATACCTGAGGACTTTTTTTATGGAAACCCTAGAATAGCTGGAGAAGTTATGGAAGAAAAGCAACATGCACATTTTTGTGGATGAGAGTCACAGCCTAATTCATGTCCCCTTTTCACTAGTGGAATCTCAAACCTCCAGCGATGAGAAGAGTCACTCTGGGACAGGAGCCAGGCTCTCAGGTGGGAGATACCAGCCCAGGATACACTAATTTCCACCTTCCTAGGACCTAACAAGAACATCAAACACAAAACTCTTCCTCCTGCTTTTGCAGAGCGCAGCACAGCCTAGTTGGTGCTAGGGGGATCTTTTTATGTTAGATGTGGAAACATTTGTGCTGTTTTTTCACCTTCCCGAACTGTTAGGCCATAGAACTGAGAGGAAAAAAAAAAAAAAAGAAAGAAAGACAAAAAGGCAGGAAAAATACTGCTTGTTAAGTGAGATATTATCTGTGTTTTCTGAGTCTCTTGTATAGGTGCCGGATACCGTTTGGTTAAATGTATGTCAGCTCTCTCCTCATTTCAGAACTGCAACTGCTTGCCTCATGAAATATCACTTTCAGGAGGAAAATAAAAAGTGTGAACTCTGCGCTAGTCACACGGTATTTCAGTTCCTCCAGGAGCCAGCCATGCCTGGATTCCCAGAAGCAGGAATGCCTGTGCACACGCAGGATTTGGCTCACACACACACCAGTCTCTTGGCCTGGCTTGCTCCTGCCACACCTGAGTCAGCCACAGCTGTGTAAAGCACATGGCTGCAAAACACTGCTTTTGAGCCGAGAAGACTGTTTCTAGAGACCTATTTTATTCTGGGTTAGAAAACAGAACAAAAAACTCCAAAGAACATTCCTTCTCCCCCCCAACTAATTTTATTTTTTAATTTTTTTTTTTAAAAACACAACCAAGTGTGCTAGTGAACCAAGCCACCTAATTCCACAGGCTCAGAGAGTAAGCTACACCTGACGAGCATTAATCACAGAGCAGGAGAAATAAATAAAAGTGGTTTTCAGCTGACAAGACAATCTCACACTCCTGAAACTGTGCAATTGTCTTAACTGGTTCCCAATGTATGATAGAGCTCCTTTACAATGCAGGGAAGCATCCTAGAACCACGCAGAACTCCAGAAGGAGGAGAAGAGGGGGAAAGCTCCTTTCTGGATTTGCAAGCCTATGAGAAAGAAGTAGGTAGCATCCCTGTGCTTTCAGATCCTCTACTTTTGAGGTCTAGTAAGAGTTTATGAAAAGCCAATATCTATGGAACCTAATCTGACAAACTCCTGTTTCCAGAAGGCTGAGTTCACACACAACTCAGGTCATAAATGAAAGTAAATTAGTGAGTTCTTTCTTTGGCCAGTTGTTCACAAATCCAGCTAGCAACCCAATACAACTCACAGGCTCCACTCCAGAAAGTTCCAGATGCTCAGTGACAGGAACAGCAGCAAGAGTTCAAAGCAGATATTTTTTTCCTGCAATCTGTTTATGTAGGTCTACCACTTGTCAGAGCTAAAATTCCTCTTACTTTGTTTTTTTTGTTTTTTTTTCTAAGAGAACACTCTCTAAATACAGAAGGTTACTATTCTCATCAGCATGATTTGCTAGAAAAGCTAAAGGGCACAGAAAAATGCTACAGTGGTTCAAATCCTGGAAAACTTTGAGAGCTACAAATTATATACATAGATATACATATATTATGTATATATTTATATTCAAAATGGCAAAGTTTCTTGCAAATCTTCCCTCTCAAAGGGAGAAGCAGACCACAAGGAAGGCAGTGTGTTACTTTCTAATCCACTCCTTGACTCAAGGCAGCATCTCCCACACTGCTCTCCCCGTGCCTAAAGGAAAAAAAGCGATACCCTGGTAAGAGGTAACAGGTGTGGAGATCAGATTAACGCTGCTGTAAAAATACCACAAAGGTTAGGTGTGGGTATCCAGGGGACCCTGTGCTGCTGCAGAGGAAGGGGAGGTCAGTGCTCCTGCTCCCAGGAGCTCAAGCAAGCAGGGAAGGGCTTCTCAGCAGGCAGAGGAGCGGGGCTCAAATCACAGCACCTCTCACCACTCGGAGCAGATCCACGGTGCTTTGTCTGCACAAAGGATTAGAACCCCGCTGCTTTTTCTGCTAGGGCCACACATGCTCCAGGCACAGCATGTATAGAGCAGGTTTTATTTCATTTACAAATTGTTTCAGCATGCAACAAAATACTGATGTGTAAGTATATCCGGTTACAATTTTTAAAATTGTTACCTGAGGAGGGTAACACGCCTCCACAGGGCTGACAAGAAATGACTTCCCTGTACTAGACATAACTGAAAATCTTCTGTTGGTGTGAAGGATTATTCTATTGCTGTTCTTTCAAATGGAAAATGTCTTTGATTTTCCATTTTCAGATGACACTAGAAGTTCTGGGGTCCTATTTTTGAGAAAACTCCTCAACAGTTTTAGAAAAGAGGGAGGAAAAAAATAAAAGAGAAAGAAAATAGTGTTCATATATTTCAGGAAAACCCAGTGACCAAGCCACCCACACTGTACCCATACCATCATGATCTACAGGTGGCCTCTGGGTCCTGAGAGGGCAGTGCCTGAGAGCTGCCTCTTAAGAAAGAGGCCCGCAGCCAGGTACCTGCCAGGAGCAGACTTGGTGGTGGGGCTGTCCTGCACCAGGCTGAACACTAAAAGTGAAAACTGAAAGCCATTAACCGTTGCAGCTGCCAACGTATTAGGGAAACTGGGAAAGAGACTAACTTGTCCTTTTTCAGCTGCAGAGGTGCAGTGGTACGAATACGTACTATCTTGCTAAGACCATTTTTTATGGAACCAGTTTCCAAGGAAGTTAAGAATAACCTCCCCCCCCCAATAAGAACGTCAATATGGGATAACATGGGGTAAGACTGCAAAATCCTATCCATGAGACTACGGGGCAAATTTTAGAAATATAACTTCTCTGCTTTTTAAAAATTTTTCAAAATGTAATCATTTTGGATAAAACCAGTTACAGGCATAAAGCCTTGTGTCAATCAGTCTTTTTTTTTTTTTTCTTTTTTCTTTCTTAAAATGTTTAAAAGTAAACCAGAATGCTCTGGAAAAAGTCAAATAACCTTATGTGGTAAATACAGTCTGTTTGCTTTTAATTAGTATTTGCCCCATCCCACCTGGTGAACTTTGTTTGTTCTGTATTTATTTTGTAACAATCAGAATTTTGCTCCCAAAAGAAAGAGTGTAAATGTGCACCTGACCGTGCTTCAGGGATACAGGTTTAATGCAAAATTACATCTATGCTTCTATATTCCCTTGACTTTTTTATTTACCTAGTTCCTTTTAAAAAAATCCATGTACTGTTGGGCTTGATATCAAGTGATATCATTAATTATATCTCAATTCCCACTCTGGTTTTAAAAAAGACCCAAAGCAATTTTATTGACAACAAAAAAAACATTGTACTGTGCTATAAAGATGGGCAGGAATTCAGGATTTTCTTTGTAGAAGTAGTCGTTAAGGACCTCACCTGAAACCTGGGACATATCTTGAGCCTCATCTGTTTCCATTTTCCTCAAGTTATCTGAGAAGAGAGGAAGAGCCTTCAGTTAATATAAAATAACACACCCATACACACACAGAAAAAGAAAAAAAAAAAAACACACCCAACCCCACACACACAGAGAAGGAGAAAGGAGGGGAAAGAAAAAAAAAACCCTTTGCTATTTAACTATAAGATTATCTGGGAAGAATAATGTATTTTTCTCTTTATTTCCTCGCTGCATACTTGCTGGAGTATCAGACTGGCACAGACCTTGATCCTTTTAAAAACAGCATTACAAAGATTTATAAAAATATCATTACAAGCACAGGAGGACCAAATTTGTTATTTATTGTTAATTTCCTACTGCATAATAACCCAAAATGCAAACTGACTGCAACAAAATTAAGCAGAAAATTAAATGGCCCTGGGTCATTGTAGGCACAGAATTCATTCTCTTGGTTGATCCATAGTTATGTTCTTTCTAATTTACTGAGCATGCATCGATGAACCTTGAGTCAGCTTGGTGACACGCGTACAATCAGCAATCAAAAAACGAAGCAATTTGCTGAAGAATGTCTCATTTACCCAGGCAGGGCTGCATATCTGAGCAGCAACCGCCACTACCTCCATTAATAATGAATACACCTCCAGCCGCAGCAGATGGGCAGAGCAGCAGCTTCAGGCTTTGGCCCCTCGCTCGCCCGGGAGCCCTTCCTTCAGACCGCACCAGCCCGGCGCAGGGGAGAAGTACAGCTCCCGAAAATAGCGAAACAGGCCCAGGAGGGAAAGGGAACCCGTGCCTTCCTGTTTTGCTGACAGATGGCTGGCTCTACGGCGTGGCGAGCGATACCGGGAAGCTCCTGCCCTCCGCTTGCGACACACCATCTTCCGAGGAGCCAGCGACCAGTGACCACAAGCACCAGGGAGAAGCGTGTGGAGGGTTAGTGGGGTAGAAACAGAATTCAGGTTTTAAGTCAGAAGGGGACCCCGCAGGTCCCAGGGCTCGAGTGCAGGCTGTGGACAGCTGGTGGCCCCTTGGATAATAGATGTTCTGCCAGAGCAGGTAGTCCCAGCACAACTCGGTCCCGACCTTGAAGTATGGCGTGGCCAGCTGAGGTGGCCTCAGGTGGGGAGGGGACAAAAAACCCACAAGCTCTTTGTTCAGCCATGTTACGCTAGGTCACGTCTTTAGCTGGTGTGGTTAGCTTCACATCCTACCAAGCAGAGGAGGTAGCTCTTTGCTCTTCCTTATAACTGAGATACCTGCCCCATCAACCCTGTTTCCTGGAATTAAAGAAGATGCATTTTCTTGAGAGTTGGAAGCAGAGGAGGATGTGGCTTGAGGTCCTACAGAAAGACTTCAAACCTTATCCTAACTTTCTAGCCCAACTTCCATAATTTATTTTTTCCCCCCAAAAAAATATTCAACCAGCTACCCAACAAGCTGCAGTGGGACAGAATAATAGCTGTGGTCATATTTATTCATTTAATAAGTTTTCTGGTCTCCTCGCTTGCTTCTGTATGTCATCAGTACATCTGAGATCCAATATACGCCTACCCCCCCTTACAAAAGCTGGCTTCCCTCACCAGGTTCATGCTAGACTTGCAGAAAGAGAGCACGTAGACTGCAGGACTGCAGACAGATACGTTGGGAAACAGAATTTTGGTCTATGCAGTTCGCAAAAAAATTCGCTATTCTCGCAGAGCATTCTGCCTGTCGCGCACATGCCATAGCACTGCTTAACATCCAATAATTCTCCTCTTAAACTTAATTCCAGACAAGCAATTTGTTTAAGGTCTATATATAATTCTCAGAAATTACTAAAGCCATGCAAAACACAAAAAGCCACCTACCACGCAACAATTTGCATCAGTTCCTATGGGACTGAAGCGCTTTCAATAGGTCCATTTTTAATGTAGTAGTCAGTGGGAAATGCAGCTTCTCTTGCAGGAGGGAAAACCCTATAATGGGAGACTGCTCAGTTACTGGAAACGTGGTGTATTTATGGCAGGTGGTATGGTACAAGTGCTTGGTATAGTCCCTTATTTCTCCTGCAAGCATGACTGAACACAAAGGAAGAAAAAAATAAATGCCTGTTCATCTATTACTGCCTTTGAGTGTCACCTGGCTACTATTAACCAGTTGATTACTACACATTTTTCCAGAGAGTTCAGTGATCCTCAAGCACCCAAAGAAAACATCCCAAGAAAATCCCCAGCAGAAGAGAGCACACTCACGAAGGGCACCTTATTCCAACTGTACCTGCCTTATCCCTATTGCTAGGGCTTGAGCATGGCTGGGGGTGACAGGGGCAGGAGGTGCCAAAGGAGAAAATTTATTGTATTTTCGTATTCCTGAATTTACCTGCCTTTGGCATGACAAGCCTTACGTTCAGCCTTTCTGCAACTTCAGCAGCACACTTCTCAGCTGTACTCCTTCCTGCCTCTTGCTGCCATCAGGCAGAATTTGGTTTGAAAACACTTCCCAATTCTGAAATGGAGAGGTAAACTAGAGTACAGATTGTTTTGTTGTTGTTGTTGTTGTTGTTTTGTTGTTGGTTTTTTGTTTTTGTTTTTGTTTTTTTTTTTAATGGAAGTAAACTGGAGTACCATTCGTTTAATATTTCTTTTTCAGTGGAGTACTCCTAAGGTTTGCTTTCTGTGGGGGTGGATGAATGCCTGTCCTGAAAGAGATGCCCTCAGTTCTCAAAGAGATGACTCCAAGGTTTATCCTTGAATTAGGTGATTTTAGGACATTCGGCAAATCTAATCTATTTCCTGGGGATGAAACATGGTGAAAAAATAGAGCTGTTGGAAATGTGATGAGGGAAAGATATTTTTCCCCTAAGGATTACTTAAAACAATTCACATAGTTCCTAAATGTAGATGAGGATCCACAAGCACTAAGCAAATTGATAAAAGCAAAAAAAAATCCTAAAGGGTATTATGAATCCCTCCCAGGGGAAAATTGTATTCTAACACTATAGTATCCTGTGGTATCTGGTAAATAGTAATGAAATCCCAGCTAACTTCATCTTAGACTCTTTATCAGGAAAGAATACAGGACAGGACCCTCACCCACCCTAATTCTGCAATGACAGCAGTGCACTGGTTTTGGTTTTGTGAATGTTAAAAGGTTTTTTCCCACTGGACTTGGGCATAATGTGTTTTGGGCTTAATTTTAAATGCTAAGAGTAAAATTTACCTCTTTGCCTTTGCTATGGTAAATATATGAATAGGAAACTATGCCTTTTTTTTTCTTCTCTTTCCTCCTCCACTACAGAAGCAGCAGAAACATTGCTGCTGACTTCCCAGAAAGCAAGAGAGCACTAAGTACTATAAGGATTTGCACCAAAGTGCAAATCTTGATATCAACTAGTAAATTAATAGATCTTTAAAAAATTTATCTAAAAGAACACTGTTTTAGAAATGTTTATGACATGAAACCCTAAATAACTGCCTGTTTTGGCATGAAAAAGAATTGTTTTGCAATTTTTCATCGTAAGCCGTATCTACATAATCAAATTTATCACTACCATAAGAAGTGCTAATTTAGGAGCCTGAAGTTAGAAATCAAAAAGTGGATGGGCAGCTGACCGAAGCAATCTTATTCTCAAGTGCTGAACATGTGTAGCTCTCATTTATAGCAGGAAAGGGACCAGCACCTAGATGATAATAGCTATTTCTTCTATTTAGGAATCCAAATAGCTTCAAAGTTTGGCCCCTTATTGAAAGAGCTACAAAGTTCCCTTCAAAATAGATAAAACTGTTTCTTCATGTCTTTTCAGATACAGAACCTGTACATTTTCCTGTTCAGACTCCAAATACCAGATTCACATATGAAGCAACCTTAATGCTTTGGAAAAGGAATAAAATTTTGCAATCTTAAACTAATTAATAAGCAACACACAAAAAACCTGAAAGGCCATGCTGATTTTTTTTGAAGTAAGAAAGCACCTAACTGACCAAGCTAACAAAAAATTTTGGAGTTAAATTAGGCAGCATTTGTCCAGGCTACCATCCTGAGCCCCCCCAAAATTTACATGTGACCAATTTCCCTGCTTGCAACTCTGTCTACAATACTTGTGCTACATCTCAAGAATATTTCAACATACACCCCATGAATCACTGAGGTTCTGCTCCATTTATACCTGGTGTCAATTGCATCCAGAAGTGGATTTGGGACCTTTTAGAATTCCAGATATAAATAGGAAGAAGTCATTGCAAGGTCAAGATTTTCTAATCTTTCAGAATACAGCAAATTAACTATTTTCAAGTCTTGGTTTATTATTTCATCTGCTGTTTTACAATGCAAATTCAAAAGCAAACCTCCTTGTCAAGAAAATGAATGCTTAGCATTTATACAGTGTTTCATCATTTCAAACAAAGGTGTAAGCATGTCAGTCCTTCTACAAACCCTGCTCTCTTAGGATTGGTGATTGGCCCAAAAGATTGGGCCATTGATACAATTCAATGGAATGACCTAATCCAATGTGGAAGACTAGCTATTTTGTTTTCTTCTTTGTTCCCTAGCTACTGACTTCTCTGGGACAACACATACTTCACACTCAACACAGTGGGACCTCACTTGCACTGTGGAAATGAAATCACAAATTTTGACATTGGTGGAGAAACTTTGGACTTAAAGCAACACACTTAAACCCAGAGCTGGCTTTCCATTTACGGATAGCTCAACTTCTGGTGCTGAAATACACCACATCCATGTTTCCTGACTATTTGTAGGTGTAGCCTTGCTGAGCAGACAGAAAGGTTCCTGAAGGAACACTTCTGTCTTGAGTGCTCCCCGCCGGGACAAGTACACTTTTACATGAAGCCTCAGAATGGAAAATATGAACGCTCAGGAAGTCTGGAGGGAGGGAGAAGAAGTCTTCTAAAAGGGACCTGGTGTTCTGCAGGTGTTTTCACAAATACAAAAAGAGAGAGGAAGGTGCGTTCCTCAGCAGTGGCAGCTCTGGGTTAACTGTGATAGAACAAACAAGCGAAGAGGCAAACCCCAGCCTTGCTTCCACAGCCACGGT